CTTTGCTTTCAGTCAATCCACCAGATATCAGCAGTGATATGCCTCATTTCACATTCTTTTCTGAATATGGCTTGAATTTCTAGAAGTTTCCGGTGGATGTACTACTACAACCATTTTTAAATTATCTTCAGTAAAATTTTACTTGTGTGTGATAGTAATGACTCTGTTCAACAAGTTCTGCATTCTGTTGGTCACCTTTCTTTGAAATGAGCACAAATATAGATCTATTCCAGTTGGTTGCCAAGTAGCTGTCTTCCAAATTTCTTGGAATAAAAGAGTGCATGCTTCCAGTGTTGCATCTGTTTGTTGAAACATTTCAATGGGTATTCCATTAATTCCAGAATCCTTGTTTTTTGCCAGTTCCTTTAGTACAGCATGGACTTCTTCCTTCAGTACCATATGTTCTTCATCATATACTACCTCCTGAAATGACTGAATGTCAACCAATTATTTTTGATACAATGACTCTGTGTATTCCTTCCATCTGCTTTTGTTGCTTCCTGCATTGTTCCATATTTTGCCCATAGAATCCTTCAGTATTGCAATTCGTGGTTTGAAATTTTTCTCTAGTTCCTTGAGAAATGCTGAGTGTATTCTTTCCTTTTGATTCTCTAACTCCAGGTCTTTACACAGATCATCATCATACTTTATTTTGTCTCCTCGAGCCCCTCTTTGGAATCTTCTATTCAGATGTTTTGCTTCATTTCTTCATTTGCTTTAGCTACTCTCCATTCAAAAGCAGGTTTCAGTGTCTATTCTGACGTCCATTTTGGTCTTTTCTTCCTTTCCTGTCTTTTTAATGACCTTTTACTTTGTTCATATATGATATTCTTCATGTCATACTACAACTCATCTGGTTTTGGCCACTGGTATTCAGTGCATCAAATTTATTCTTCAAATTGTGTCTAAATTCAGGTGCCATATATTCAAAGTTGTATTTTGGTTCTCGTGGACTTGTTTTAATTTTCTTCAGCTTCAACTTGAACTTACATATGAGCAATTAAGGGACTGTTCCACAGTCAGCTCCTAGCCTTGTTTTGACTGATGATATTGAGCTTTTCCATCATCCCTTTCCACAGTTGTAGTTGATTTGATTCTTGTGTATTCCATCTGGTGAGGTCCACGTGTGTAGTTGCCATGTATGTTATTGAAAAAAGGTATTTGCAATGAATGTCATTGGTCTTACAAAATTCTATCATGCAATCTCTGGTGTTATTTCTATCACCAAGGCTGTATTTTCCATCTACCAATGCTTGTTTGTTTCCAACTTCTGCATTCCAATCACCAGTAAATATCAATACATTTTGATTGTATGTTTGGTCAATTTCAGACCACAGAAGGTGGTAAATAATCTTCAATTTCTTCATTTTTGGCTTTAATGGTTGGTACGTAAATTTGAATAATAGTAGTACTAACTGGTCTTCCTTATAGGCATATGGATATTATCCTATCAGTGACAGCATGCATATAGGCATAGATCTTGAAATGTTCTTTTTGATGATGAATGTGATGCCATTCCTCTTCAATCTGTCATTCCTGGCATAGTAGACCATATGACTGATTCAAAATGGCCAATACCAGTCCATTTCATCTCCCTAGTGCCTAAGATGTCAACCTTCATGCGTTCAATTTCATTTTTGACAACTTCCAATTTTCCTAGGTTCATATTTCATACATTGTACATTCTGATTATTAATGAATGTTTGCAGCTATTTCTTCTCATTTTGAGTCAAGCCACATCAGTAAATGAAGGTCCTGAAAGCTTTACTCCATTCACGTTATTAAGGTCAACTCTATACTTCAAGGAGGCAGCTTTTCCCCAATCGTATTTTGAGGGCTTTCCAACCTGGGGAACTCATCTTCTGGTGCTATATCAGACAGTGTTTCACTGGTACTCATAAGGTTTTCAGTGGCTAATTTTTCTGAAATGGAGTACCCCTTCTTTCTTCCTAGTATGGCTTAGTCTGGAAGCTCCACTGAAACCTGTCCACTCTGGGTGACCCTGCTGGTATTTGAAATACTGATGGCATAGCTTCCAGCATCACAGCCACATACAACCCACCACAGCATGACAAACTGACAGACGAGTGGTAAAAAGATAACGAACGGTACCATTTTAAGCATCTAGTGTGTACTGTTCTTCATTATGATACTTAGATAATATAGGTTTTATTGTCCTCATGTTAGGTGACCTGTATTGAATAATGATTAAGGAACAACTTAATTATCAGAAAGTCTTGGGCTCAAGTCCTGGTTCTGTTACTTAATAACTGTGTGACGTTGGACAGTTACTTTACTTCTCAAGGCCTCAATTTCCTCATCAGTGAAAGAACATCACACATGCCATGTGGCTGCGATGAGGATTAAGTACAATAATAAATCTATAGTGGTTGGCATAGTAGGCGCCACAGAGCAAGGGTTCCATGTATGTTTGGTTTGGATTTAAAGGTTCACAAGTTTTAGGGAGGTAAAGTAACTAATATAAGGTCCCAGTACTAAGTGGCAGAGCAGGGATCTCAACTTGGCTAGTTTGATCCTGGGTAGTTCCACCCAATTATCCACAACACCATGCCTCCTCAGTGGTTTTCAGGACCCATTTGTGGAAAGGTGGGTAGAAAGTTTAGTTTTGGAAACTATTTCTCACAATGACTCACTAGAACCTGAAGCTTGCTGAATTCAAATGGGGTTGAAATATGGATGCAGCACCCTGAGATGGAAGAGTAATATGGGGAAGTGCAAGGATGGAGACCTTGGCCTTGAACCCTGTGAATACAAGGAATGTAGGCTGCGGCAGGATCTATGGAGAGGGGGTATTGGGGTAGGTATGCATGACCTGCTGGGCATCCAGTACCCTCAGAGTTAAGTGAAATGTTTTCCTCTGTAGCCTTCCTTGACCAAATTAATTAATCTACCTGAGATGAAGGATATGGGTATGCACAGAGTGACAGGCAAGTAAAGAAACAGGTGCAATTCAGAAGGAGCAAATTGATAAATTCCACCAAGGGAGAGTCCTCTAAAATTCCCCAACTGGTCCCCATCACCTTATTTCTGAATCTTGGAGAGGCATAGCTTCCAATTCAAATGGTCCTCCTGGGGGCCAAGTCACTTATGCCGTCTTGGCCATCTGTGCCATGAGGAAGTTGGGTAGATGATTGGCAGGGGAACAGAAACAAGAGTTTTTGGCCAAACCACCCTGAGGCAAATCCCTAATCAGTTATCCATGGTGAGATTCATTTTCTCACATGTAAGGCCAGATAATACCACCTATATCACAGACTGCTGTAGGGATGAGATGAGAATATGTTAAGTGCTTAGCAGAGCTCTTGGTACATAGTAAGCATTGAGTAAGTGGTAGTTGTGATGATGATGACGATGATGAGGATGTGATGGTGATGACAATAATGGAATCAAAAGAAAAATAATACCAGAGTCTCATAAGGTCGTAGAAAAGCAAACTAGAGGGAGGTGGGAAGGAAGGTCAGCTTGTGAGGAGGTGGGGAGAAGTTTGGGACACTTCATGGGTGGCAAGATATCCACGTGGAGATGGAAACATGGCACTGGGGATGAAGGTTGGTCCCCTTCTCTGACACTGGCATCCATGGGTCCTTGATTACAACAGACATTAATTGAGCCCCTACTACGTGTAGCCCATTCTATTGTCCACAGTATGACATACAAGAAAATACTTGACCTACAAAAATAAGAATAACAGTAAGAATACCTACCTTACAGGGATGTCATTGAGGTTAAAGTAATAACATAAGGCTTTGTTCTGGTTACCTAGTGCCGCTCTGACAGGAATATACCACGAATGGGATGTTTGAACAAATAGTTTATTCTTTTACAGTTTGGAGGCTTTGAGTCCGAGTTCAAAATGCCAGCCTCTAGGGGCTGGGTGAAAGCCCCTCGACCTTGGGCTTCAGCTCTGCCTCTTGTTCCCGGCCCACTGAAGCTAGAGGCATTTCTTCACTCAGGCAGCTACTGGCTGCTGAGGCTAACAAGCCCAAGGTCGACAAATAAAGTGGCACAGTCCCAATGTTACCAAACCACACGGCAGGCCATTAATTCAAGTCCATTGAAAGTCCCAAGGTCAGCAGAGTATGGCAGGCTGCTGAAAAATGACACAGCTACATACAAGGTTCAAGCATGCCATAAGCTAGAGACCATTCCCAAAACTGTTTCTTGTATGCAGGAAGCAGACCACATACCCAAAGCAGCTACTCAGCTGCTCCAATAGATTCCACCATGGGAAAAACTATATTCAGCTGCCCAGCCACTCAACCAGGCGCAACCAAGTTGACACACAAACTTAATCACCCCAGCCTTCGAGCACAGAGTGTGGCACATAGAAATATATCTTTAAATGAGTTGAAACTGAAGAGTATTTCTTGAAAATACCATTCCCACCCCCATTTTAATACCTTCTTTAAGAACCTTGTGCTAAGCAAAGTCTCAGAAATATTTAAAGAAATAATGCAGTTGCTGCAAACTTAACATGTCAGTTCAACTCCCAGAATTATGTCTAGTGCATTGGTAGAGACCAATGAACTAGAAGGAAAGTCCCTATCATGGAGATCCTTAAAGTCCAATTGGGAAAATAGATACCTTCTGGAATAGAAACAAATGAAAGTCACTGTTAGTAAATGCTGAACAGGGTGAAGAGATACTCCAGTGAGATCAGCCCAGTGTGGGTGTGTGAAAGCTCAAAAACATTCGGACAGATGGCTCAGTGGATGCTGTTTTTGATGGTGTCTCATTAATAAAATGAGCAGCAAAAAGATTCACTTGCCACAAACTATTAATGACACTTCACTTATGCCAAGTACTAGGCTAGGCTGAGGATGCAGCAATAAAGAGCAGTCTCTAACCATGAGGAGTTGCTAACTGAGCAGAAAGCCCATGGCAGCACAGTGCACCCACCACGTGCTGTTGACCAGGTGGAGGGGGCTTACACGAGATGACATGACTTACCTTTCCATCTGGGTCCTCTCTTCCAACAGGGTCTTTTCATCTAATCCATTTGATGTTTGATGACTACGTCCTGTACCTGTTAGAATCCCTGCACTGCCAGGAGAGGGCCAACGAGCTCATGAGAGCCATGAAGGGAGAGGGAAGCACTGGTAAGCCAGCATTTCACTGGGGAACGCACAGTCTGATTGTTTAATTTGTATCCTCACTTCTGTGCTTCTTTAACTCGAATCACAAAGAACTTAATTACGGTGAGCAGATGAAATGGTGTCAAACCAGTCATGTCATTTCCCTCTTTGGAGCAGGCAAATAAGAATTGCCTTAAAGGCTGTGATGGTAGTGGGAAACTACTGAAAGGTTTTCAGCAGGGGAGTGACATGACACAGATTAGGAAGATGAAGAAGGATATTTCATTTTGAAAGTCCCTTAAAGATAACTTAGGAGGCCTGGTGGCACAGTGATTAAATGCTTGGCTGCTAATTGAGAGGTCAGCAGTCTGAACCCATCAGCTACTCCATGGGAGGAAGATGAGGCAGTCTGCTTCCATAAAGACTGGCAGCCCTGCAAACCCTATGGGTCAGTTCTACTCTATCCTATAGCTTCGCTATGAGTTGGAATCACCTTGATGGCAGTGGGTAAAGACAACTTGCCTTGAAGTTTGGCTGTAAGAACCCACTTTTGTCTATTTGTAGCAGAAGTTCGAGAAGAGATCATCTTGACAGAGGCAGCCCCACCAACCCCTTCACCAGTGCCATCATTTTCCCCAGCAAAGTCTGCCACATCCGTGGAAGTGCCACCTCCTTCCTCCCCTGTCAGCAACCCATCCCCTGATTACAATGGCCTCAGCACTACAGGTAATGACTGGTCCCTCAAACACCGGGCTTTCGATGGTGAGTTGATATATAAAGCAAGGGCTTTCTGAAAAAATATTCTTCCCCTCAGCTCCCAAAAGACAAAGCCAAAATCTGGCTATCTTCCTGGATTTGTGGATGTCTTACAGAAATTCATCTATTCATTTGTATATCTTTCTTATGCTTCTGTTTTCAAATTGGTAGATTCAGTACAAAGTAAAATCTCCACCCTCACAACTAAGCCACTGAAATGATTAAAATTATATTCAACATAAAGTAATACACATCCAGTCTTGAAAACAAGAGTGAGCACTCTCTAGGAATCAGAAACAGAGAGGCATTTCTGGAAAGGGGGGCAGACAGGCAGCGAAAACACTGAGAATGGTAACCAGAAGGGAGGCAGGAGCTGTAAACAGAGTCAGTCATGAACCAAGCTAGGGCTGCCCTGCACACGACTGGGGGAATGATTTGGTGGGAGGCCCACAGAGCCCAAGACATGCACTCAATGCTCACAAGCTGAGGTCACAGCAAGAGCCACCCAAGCATCTGAGAAACCCCAGCCCATTAAAGGGAGAACAAGCTGAAGATAAGGGAGAGCTTCTACCTGAGGAAATGGAGCTGATAGCACAATCTGAAGAGATTAAGAGAAGAAAAGAAAAGAAGAAACCATACCCACGAGACTTGAGTTAAGATCTTTGAAAAGAAATATATAATTTTCAGGGGGAAAAACTCAGTAGATGGGTTAAGATCAGATATAATTGAATGAGAATTAGTGACTGAAAGAGTGAGCCAAAGAATTCTCTGATAATGTGACACAACACCAAAATACTCCAAACCCACCGACATGGAGTTGATTCTCACTCATAGCAACCCTGTAGAACAGAGGAGAACTGCCCCATAGGGTTTCCAAGGCTGTCAATCTTTATGGAAGTGGACTGCTACATCTTTTTCCCACAGAGCAGCTGGTGGGTTTCCACTGCCAACCTTTCAATTCGCAGCCAGGTACTTTAACCAACGCAACACTAGGGCTCCATGTGACACAAAGAGATAAATAAAAGCTTAGTATAAAAGCAACAGTAAAAAATGACTGACAAATCCAGAAATTCCAATGTTCATCTAGTAAGTGATGCACAGGAAATAATGGCTGGCAGTTTTACATAATAGAGAAAAGACTTCTCGGGTTGAAAAGCTCTCAGTGAGTACTGTGCTGAATAAATGGAAAGAGGAAAAAGCCCACCCCCAGGTTCATGGAAGAAATTCAAGGCTAAAAGGAAGTCTTGGCAGCTACCTAAAGGAAACACAACCTCCAAAGAAAAGAGAAGCAGACAGCTCCTCAAACATTAGGTCCAAGAACTATCTGGGACAGTACTTTGAAGTGCAGAGAAAACGCTGCTATGAAAACCTTGAATCCAGAACCCCATACCTACATAGATTCCCCACTCCCACCCGCCTTGAGAACCTTTGATGTGCCTAGTCCTGTGCTGTTGTTGCTGTTGTTGTTACGTGCCATCGAGTCGGACCCGACTCATAGTGACCCCTCCTTGAGTTGCCGAGGCAGTATCACTATGAAAGTCGATTGGCCCATCTTCCTTCCGAGGAGTGGCTGGTGGGTTTGAACTGCCAGCCTCCTGGTTAGCAGTCAAGTGCCTTAGGCACTATGCTACCAGAGCTGAGAAATACACAGGTTAATGTGTCAGAGTCTTGACATCATGAGGCAACTGTAATTGAAGAAAGAACATGGCGTGTGCTATATAAGTGAGGTACAAACTAATGCTGTGGGCTCCCCATGGAAGGAGAGGAAGAGGCATTCTAGAGGTAAAACAACTTTTGTTTACCGAAAATAAAGACAGGAGAGAATGTAAGCGTTGCTTACCTGCTAGCGCAGGACCAGGCAGTGTTTCATTCTGTTGCATGCGGGGTCACTATGAGTCGGAGCCAACCAGACGGCACCTAACAAAACAACACAGCTCTTCAGCGGCTCAGGGAGTCTTCCAAGATTGGAATTATGGGACAACCATCCGCTAAGCTGCTTGCCTCACTCAGGATGGATGGCAGAAAGAGCAGCCAGGAGCCATTTGCCTGAAAAATTCTGCTGCATACCACCACCAACACCCAGGAGACACACACATAAGCCAATTAGTGATAACACCCTTTCTCCTAAAATAAGAAGGGAAATTGTGGAAATGAATAAAGTTCTGTATTAGAAGCAGAAACAATGTGAGTAAAACGTTTCTTGCAGTGTGGCAACCACACAAGGAGACGCCAAGGAAGTAAGGGGGTGGGAAGAGTGTGAAGGGTAGGCTCCTGGGATTTCTTTGTAATCCTTATCCAACGTGTGAGTTGGCCAGGCTTCCCTGTGGCAATTTGTTAGACTTTAAGGTAAGGCAGGTGCGACAGTCAAGGCACAGGAGTATCATAAACATGTTCGGAGATTTCTGTGCAGTGTGTTTAAAAGTCATAAAAGTAGCTTCTTAGAAACACAAATATGAAACAGGTTCTTTTCAGATGATTGCAACCTTTGAAGATTTGGCACATTCCAGCTTTGTTCTCAGGTATCTCCAGGGGGCATTAAAAATGTCATCCTATAGAAAACCAGGAGTAATATTTCTCTCAAGTACCACTTTTGAAATACTCCCTTGCTAAATTAGACTCGGTCTTAGTATGCCACGTAGTTCATAATCTTGGGGGCAACAAACAACATTTCCTAATAACGGGTATGGTTTTATATACAATGTTATATGATACAGCGCATATTATTTATCTATAACATACACACACAAATTAAGAAATCTATCATGGCTGCCTAAATGTCAAGATTTATGCAACTTTTCACACAACGCTATAATTGGAAAACAATTATTTTAAGCCTCATGAAATGGACTTGCCAGGCTTCTCCTTTTTTTACAATGCTAATGTGGCATATGGTTTTTGTGCCCAGTTAATTTTTTTTCAGTTTGAAAATTATTTATTGATTTCTAGCCCATCTACTTTCTAAACAATGATCTGAAGTGATTCACGATAAAAATAGCAAAATCAATCCTGAAAAAAAAAAAAACCAAAATCAGGAAGCAGGAAATAGAGAAGAAGTGGAGGAAAATTTAAAACAAAACACAAGAATGCAAAAATCTTGCCTGAGAAAACATGAAATGGAATTTTACATCATCTGGTTATTTTCTTGCATTTCCCGTACACTGAGAATAGCACTGATCAGTGACACATGAGTATCAAGTTAGACTTGTTGAACATCAAGGCCTAACAGATATCTGTGACTCTTCAAAAAAATCAATTTGTCTCATTTTAGATAACCATTTCCCCCATTTTTCAGCTATGAAGAGACAGTATTAAAAAAAATTATTGCACATAATATTTTGGCATCCTTTGATATACTAGATGATATAGATGAGTTATGACTCACTAGGAAAATAGCCACTTTGTTTATCCATAGCTATGTCTAGTTACATATTTTCTTATGACTGTACTTATTAATTGTATTTTACAAAAAGAAAGGAATTTCGGGTACCTAAAATTGAACCTTGGAAACCCAAGGAGGGGTCACTATGAGTCAGGTCTAACTCCATGGCACATAACAACAACAACAACAACAACAACAAAATCGAACCTGCTATATGGCCAATTTTGATTGGTTTTATTAAATTCTATGGCAAAGTCAGGATAGTTGACTGGTTACAGGATTCCATTTCAGCAGATTTCTACAAGGTAAATTGAATCCATTTATGTATTCCACCCCCACTCCCCCAAATCTGAGGGCTTGCCATCTTCCTCATGGCCTAGCAAAGTTCAGACACCTTTAACTTTCCTTAAGGAAAACTGGCTCTTTTCCTCCTTGGGAAGCATGGCAGGTGGTACCCAACTGGCCAGCCCATTTAACATGATATTGGGCTGCAATTCTTTAATGTCATTTAAGGTGAAATGTTAAGCTCCCACTTTGTCGTGGTTGGGCCACTGAAGGGTTCTAAGACCTCATTTATGATGTCATTTTAAATATTCCCTCCTTCAGCAATGACAATAAAAGTTAACTATTAAGCTCATGTTTTCAACTTCCCACCATGGGTTCCCAGCAACACAAAACCAGCAAATTAAATCACTGACAGGCAAGGATGCTGAATGAAATAAAGGCAAATTCCTCATAAAGGGCCCTAACTGTAGAACATCTGGCCTGCCCAGCTGTGGTGTCCTCTACAAGCTGAGGATGTAACAAAGATCACTGGCCTCTGGTCTTTTCAAATAACAAAAGCACAGTTATTCTGAGGGCAGATAACTGAGTGAGATATGGTGGCCACTGCAGCCCTGCCACAGAGCCCATGATAGTGACCCATTCACAGAACCTTAGACCTGTCCCTCTCCTTCCAGCCCTGTGGCCTCCTTTTCTTTAAAGAAATGGCACTAGGAAATATAAGCTGGGATGGGAGGCAGATTGCCAAATCCCCTCTTTGACTTCATACCATCAAAGTCTTGACTTGGTGTAGGGACCTTGGATTCACCTTTGTCATTCATTCAACAAAAATGTATTTCTGTCTAATCTGTGCTATGCCCTTGGTGGGAAAAGAACTACACACACCTGGTCACGGCCCCCATGGTAAGAGAAGTAATATAGAAGTAAACCCCAGGTAAACACATCATTACAAATGGCCATAAGTGCTAGGAATGGAAATAGTATATTGTGAAAATGTATAAAATGGGGACCCACCACAGATGATGGTCAGAGAAGGCCACATTGAGGAGGTGACAGTTGAATGAAACCTGAAGTATCAAGAGGAGCCAGCCACATCAAGGGTGGGAAAGAGGAAAGAACATTCTAGTCAGTGGAGCACAGCATGTGCACAGACCTTGAGGCAGCAAAGAGCCTGGCATAGTCAGGACTGACTAGAACCCAGGAAACAGGGGAGAGTGACATGAGAGGAAGTTGCAGAGGCTGGCAGAGGCTAGATGACCTCTCTCTGGGAACGGTTTTCAGTTGCTGCCCCTCTGTTCAGTTATGTCAA